ATATATATTTTCGACGTGTTGAGATTATATATATATATATATATATATATATATATATATATATATATATATATATATATATATATATATATATATATATATATATATATATATATATATATATATATATATATATATATATATATATATATATATTATTTATTACCGATGATAATATAATATGTTTTCTTTTATCCTCTATTTCTCTGTTTCATCTCTACTTTATTTTTTTATTAATTTTATAACAAAGATGATTTAAATCCAAAAATGATTCCAACTAGCTAGTCAATTAATATTAAGATGAGAAGTTGAGAACATAAGACCATGTGCAATGGGTATGTTGAGTTTGAACTCAACATGCAAAATCTCCTCCAATGGGTGTTGAGAGAGGTGTTGAGTGTGTGTTGGAAGAGAGAGGTGTTGAGAAAACTCAACACAATTGAAGCTGACCAAGGGCATGACGTGGCAGCGCCTCATTGGTCTGGGCCAGGCGCGTGTAGCCCACTCGCTTGGGGTGAGAGTGGGTCTTAATCCACGCGGAGAGAGAAAGAGAAAAGGGATAAGTGCAGCCACGTGGCTGTGCTTGATTGGCTGACCAGATTTTTATCCATTTAATACTTTGAACTCAATTATTTCGTTGCAAATTAATTTTTTTTTTTTTTTTACCAAAATTCATGATTTTTTTTCTCTATAAATAGAGACTTGGTTCATTTGATTTGGACACAGAAAAAAAAACTAAGTTTTTCACTATCTTAATTTTATTATTAGTGTTTATTTTGAAGTTAAGTGTCTTTTTTTAGTGAAATGGATCCCAATAATCATTTTAACACTCAAAATTCTGCTAATTTTCCATTTAACCAAAATCCCAACAATTTTCCAAATCTCAACAATTATCAAAATCCCAACTATTATCAAAATCCAAATCAATTTTCCAACCAACATCCTCAAAACATACCTAATTTTGGTTTTCCACCAAATTTCAACCAGACATCCTTTGTTCCAAACTTTCAAACATATTATGGATCTATGCCGAGAAATCCATCTCAAACACCCCCGTTTAATGGTTATGTGACAATGGCGAATGCAAATTTTCCAAGTGGTGGTGTACCTGAATTTCCCGAGTTTTCAACACAACTAACTATTGGTGGCATGATTGTTTCTAATGAAGTCGGTCCGAATTCAGAGGATTCAACTCCTAAGAGCAGGAAAACTCAGCAACCAGCATGGAACACTGAACAAATTTTGGTTCTAATTAGTGGGTGGATTAAATTTGGAACAAGCAGTGTTGTCGGGAGAAACCAGAAAGGTGAAACATATTGGGGTAAAATTGCTGAGTATTGTAATGAGCATTGCTCATTCGATCCTCCGCGTGATGGACCTGCATGCCGAAACCGTTTTAATTATATGAACAAAGTGTTGGGTAAATGGATTGGCGCTTATGATGGCGCTAAGCGTATGCAAGGAAGTGGTTGGTCGGAGAATGATGTTTTGGCAAAAGCGCAGGAATTATATGCATGTGGGAAGAATGTTAAATTCACTTTAATGGAAGAATGGCACGCTCTCCGTGATCAACCACGTTATGGTAGTCAAGTAGGAGGAAATATTGGCTCAGGAAGTAGTGGATCTAAGAGATCTCGCGAGAGTGATGCATGTGGCTCAAACACTGTAGAATCCAGCGCTCGTCCTATAGGAAGGGAGGCAGCTAAAAAAAAGGGTAAAAAGAAAAGCAAGGAATATGCCTCGGAGGTGGTGGACAAAGAATGGGTTGAATACAAAGAATTCAAGACGAAAGAGCTTGAACGATTGGACAACATAGCGTTGATGCAACAGCAGGCTAACAATATAGCCTTGGAGAAGACTAAAACCAAGAAAATGAAGATGTATCTAAAGCTAACTTCCGAAGAGCATCTAGATGACCGGAAGAACCAGCTGTTGAAAAAGTTGGAGGCAGAATTGTTTGATAATTAATTTCAATGAAGTATTTGTCAGTGTTGTGTTTGCTTTAATTATTGTTGTTTCAATATGCCAGTGTAGTGTTTGCTTTAATTATTGTTGTTTCAATATGCCAGTGTAGTGTTTGCTTTAATTATTGTTGTTTCAATATGCCAGTGTAGTGTTTGCTTTAATTATTGTTGTTTCAATATGCCAGTGTAGTGTTTGCTTTAATTATTCCTTATCTGATAATTAACTCTATACAATAAATTATTTCGAATCCGTCAGTGGTCCACCACCCAATTCGAATCTATTCCTTATCTGATAATTAACTCTATACAATAAATTATTTCGAATCCGTCAGTGGTCCACCACCCAATTCGAATCTATTCCTTATCTGATAATTAACTATATACAATAAATTATTTCGAATCCGTCAGTGGTCCACCACCCACATCCATTTATATATAGGGACTCATACATCCATTTATGTACCAATATCCCAAATCCCATCCAATCTACCTCCAATATCACAAAAAAATGGATCCATCACAATATCATTTTGATATCGCAGCCTACAATCAAAATCGTGAAATTGAAGAAAATTATATAGTCAATCGATTTAGAGAGCGTAGAAACAAAATATCGGAAGATAATGCACCTCGTAGTAGAAAATATCTCAATAGAGATCATGCAGCGGCAAACCAAAGACTAATTGACGACTACTTTGCCAATGAGCCTACATATGACGATGCAATGTTTCGTCGTCGGTACCAGATGAAAAAAAATGTTTTCCTTCGAATCGTTGGGGACCTTTCAAGTAGTGATAACTACTTCACCCAGCGAGTTGATGCAGCCAATAAAGAAGGTATATCACCCTTAGCAAAATGTACCACAGCAATGCGAATGTTAGCATATGGTGTGGCAGCAGATGCGGTCGATGAGTACATCAAAATAGGAGGTACTACAGCATTGGAGTGCTTACGTCGATTCTGTAAAGGAATCATACGCTTGTACGAGCAAGTGTATCTGAGAGCACCAACCCAAGATGACCTGCAAAGAATACTGCATGTTAGTGAAATGCGGGGGTTCCCAGGGATGATTGGGAGTATTGACTGCATGCACTGGGAGTGGAAAAATTGTCCTAAAGCATGGGAAGGACAATTTACTAGAGGGGATAAGGGAACCACCACAGTTATTCTTGAAGCAGTTGCATCTCATGACCTATGGATCTGGCATGCCTTTTTTGGATGTCCGGGAACGTTGAACGATATAAACGTTCTAGACCGATCATCAGTGTTTGATGACGTGGAACAGGGAAAGGCTCCAAGTGTGAATTTCTTTGTGAATCAACGTCCATATAATATGGCATACTATCTAGTTGATGGTATCTACCCTTCTTATCCAACTTTCGTCAAATCGATTAGACTTCCTCAAAGTGAACCCGATAAATTATTTGCAAAATTTCAGGAGGGATGTCGGAAGGACATCGAACGTGCATTTGGAGTGCTCCAAGCTCGATTTAAAATCATCCGTGAACCAGCTCGCTTGTGGGACATAGCTGATTTGGGTATCATCATGAGGTCATGCATCATATTACATAATATGATTGTTGAGGATGAACGAGATTCATATTCTCAACGTTGGACCGATTTTGAGCAGTCTGGGGAAAGTGGATCTAGTGCACCACAACCATACTCGACCGAGGTGTTACCCGCTTTTGCAAATCATGTGCGTGCTAGATCAGAGTTCCGTGATCCAAATGTTCATCAAGAATTGCAAGCCGATCTAGTGAAGCACATATGGACAAAGTTTGGAATGTTCCGTGATTGAATTATTTGTGTGTTGTATTGCATTTTAAATTATTTGTATCGTACTAATTACGTTACTTGTGTGTTGTATTGCATTTTAAATTATTTGTAACGTACTAATTACGTTAATTGTGTGTTGTATTTTAAATTAATTTAAGATGATTTGTATCGTATCCAATTATTTAAATAAATTTTGTTTTTATTACAAAAAATTAAAAAATAAATTATTAAGTATTTATTATTTTAATTTAATTTTAATCGATAATTGTAATTTTATGTAATCATAAAAATAAAAATAAAATTTAAATAAGAATATGAAAATAAAAAGTGGTGGGGTAGGGTGTTGAGTGAAAAACCATTGGAGAGGGTAAAAGTTGAATGAGTGTTGAGTTATTAGGTGGAAGAAAGAGAAAATGATGTGGAGTGTTGGGAGTTGAAAAAGTGGATGTTGAGTTTTTCAACCATTGTAAATGGTCTAAGTGCTGACGTTAATTAACAAGTAAATCAGGCATGGACTCCATCCAATATTGTTAATTACGAATGTGGTGATCTCATTATTAATCTTCAGTATATAACACAAATACATTTCTTTCCTGGATTAGTCTTAAAAGTATCCATTTGACTATTTTCCTTCTGGATTTTTCCAATTTCCCTCAACTACTTGAGCCGTGTAATCTCTTTTCCTTTTCTATTTTTACACGGAGAACGTGTTACACAGACAAACTAATTTGCCCAACTTATTACATTCAAGCTATCAATCCTATCAGAATACTATTTCCTTTAGATAACATCTAATTTTGTCAACAAAAAAAAGAACGGTCGTAGTCCTAAATAATAATATTAAATGAAATTTGGTAAATAAGGTTTGATATTTTGTGGCACTAGGCTTGAAATTTGAAGTGCAATATTAGTAGAAGAAAAGGTGTGAACAGAATTACCACTAAAGACCAAGAAAAGTAATGAAACATTAGGTCATATTGGTAATTTGGATATGTTAAAAAGGGAGTATTCATTATGCTCACCGAGGAAGAAGAAAGCACCGAGAAAATGCCAAATAGAGAAAATGCCATTACTGAAAAATGAACCCCACAGCTTTCGTAATCCAATACGTCACATGAACCAAGCCGAAACAGGAAAAGTCAACAGTCTTGTTCCCCACGACACACCCATAAATAACCACACTCCAACGACAAACACAACCATACAAAACAATTTCACAATCACAACAACATACAGAAAGAGCAACATAGCAACAACATGAAAGAAATGAAACTAGTTTGGTCCCCAGAGAGAGCAACAAACTCATACATCGATACTGTTCAAGCCGTACGCACTACTCACTGCCACCTTTCAAGCGAATCCGGCGTGGCGGAGCTGATATCCGCTATGGCAGCGGGATGGAACGCGCAGCTGATAGTTGAAACATGGTCACGTGGTGGAGTTATTCCAACGAGTATTGGTTTATCCATAGCAAGCCGCCACACAGGTGGAAGACACGTATGTATAGTTCCTGATGAACGGTCGAGATTAGAGTATGCAAAGATCATGGGAGAATCGGGTATGTCGCCGGAAATTATGGTTGGTGAACCGGAAGAGGTGATGGATGATTTGGTCGGAATAGAGTTCTTGGTTGTCGATTCTCGGAGAAAGGATTTTTCAAGAGTTTTGAGGCTAGCTGAGTTGAGTGGAAAAGGTGCTGTGTTGATATGCAAGAATGCCAATTGTATTTCTAAGATGGATTCTGGTTATATATGGCGGAGCGTGGTGGCGAGGGGATCGAGACGACTTGTTCGCTCGGTGTTTCTTCCGGTGGGGAAGGGGCTTCATATGGCACACTTATCCTCCGCCGCTGGTGGTGAGAACGCGCATAAGGAAAATGTTATTCCGAATCGATGGATCAAACATGTTGATCGAAAATCAGGGGATGTTCATTTTATTCGAAAATGAAAACAGTTCTTCTCCTTTTGTAAATATATACGGTGTAATAGGATTATGACAATACTTTAACATATCAAACGAAACAGTATATTTTCGTGTCACTAGGTAAAAAGAACCTCATCCGCCACATTTATCTACTCATACAGCTTCATATTCTTTTCTAGCTTCACCTTAATGTATCACAATCACAAATTTGTTTATTTATTTAATTTCAATGAGATAAAACCATTGGTATGTCAAACTATAAATGTTTTTGTTAGCTGAATAGTAATTCCTCTAATTTTGGTAAGGAAGAGTTATGGTATGTGACTTCTTCCGTAAGAATTCAGTCTATCTTTGAATTATGTTCCCTTTTATACTAATTTCATTAGTTTAAAATTAGACCAAACATATAAATGCAATTAAATCTTAATAAAGAATCATAATAACTATTTATCTGTTTTTTATTATGCTAAGGAGACATGTCTAGACATATAAATATTTGTTCAGGATATCTCAATTTTGAAACAGTTTATATTACGTCTTGAAAAATAAATTATGTCTGATTCGGTTATGATCCGATCCGTCTACCTTATGGTTAATCGGCAATTCTAAGACGTATAAAATTTTTCAAATATAAGGTATGAAGAGATGAAGTGCTTAAGTGTGAGTCATTAAGACTAATCTGATCATGTTACTCATCCAATTCGTCAATCTCAGAATTAACTGAATATTCTGAAAAATATATCATTTCTAAAGTACGAGGTTTTGACCGACGAAATACTTAAGAATGAAGTCATTCGAACTAATCTTCATCTAACCGGCCAACCTCGTGGTTAGCTGACAATTCTAAGATGAACAAATATAATTAAAATTTTATTAAATATTGTTGCAATTAAGAATTTTTTTAATAAATGGTCAATATGTGAAGCTCTCATTAGGCTTGTTTGAATGACACGTATCTCCTCTCTAACATTGAAAAATTAATAAATAACTTATTTAATAGGTTCAAAATTATATTGCTCATGAATGTGTATTTAGTCTAAATTAGATATCATAGATCAGAAGAATTGCTCAAAAACATTTTGTATGATCAAAACAACTTTTCTTATAAAGAAATCTCTTTCGAACTAAGAATGATGACACAAACTATAAGAGAGTAATAAACAAAATCTTCAAACTGTCAAGTCTAGACAAGAAGTTATTGGTGGAGAATACGGAGATCGAATGATCTAAAAGGAGGGGTTGAATAGACCGTTCCTTAAAACTATTTCTGAAAATATTTTTTTTCAAAATTAGAGTTTTAAGTGATGATGTACATATTACAAGTGGGAGTAAAATATAGTTGATATTTTGAAAGAGATATATTTCAACGTGTATCACAATTACGATAGATAGTAAAACATAAACACAACTAAAATAAGTGATGTTATTTTCGAAAGCAATACAAAAATTTGCATAACTCATTTTTAACATGTGGTTCTAATTGATTTCTGATCAATCGGTTTTCAAATCTAAAGTTGAAAGTATTCACAATTATAATTGAGAGATAGAATAGTCAATGGATTAAATTCATCACAGTCCTAAGTTTATATAATAAAGGGTTAATAGTCATTTACTCCCTGTAATATAAACGAATTTTGATTTCTCCCCTTTTAAAAAAATTGATTACCCCCTGTAATTTTTTGAGTATGCCCTAAGCGTGTAAAAATGAGGGGGGTAAATAAAAAAATAATATTTTATAAGGGGGGAATATTTGCACTTAGGGGACAAAAGACTTAGAATTTTAACATTTTAAGAGATGTATAATTTTTTTTAAGGGGGGTAAATCAAAATTCGTCTATATTACAGGGAATAAATGACTATTAACTCTATAATAAATCACTATAAGCAAGGTACAGGTCTAATAATATGATATTTTAAGAACATAGTCTCAATTGTAATTTTTACTCTATTCCACCGAAGTCTTCTGTGAAGTATAAAGAAATTGTTCTCTTCTTAGATATTAATCTCTAGATACCATAAAAATAAAATGATTCTTTTTCCAGATACATACAACAAAACTTCACAAAAAAAACATTAGCCTTTATAATGTACCTTGGATATACCATTCAAAGTCAATCTTTATAATTGAGTAGCATAACAATAGTCTCTTGATTCATAATTAAAGATGGTGAAGATTATCTAAAGAATCTCACACGATACAGCAGAGATCTCACAAGATCAACACTCTAAGAAGTTTTTCACAACTCCCATGTGTTTTTATCAATATTTGTCAAAATATAGATTGATCTCACATCAACGTGAATTGTTATTGGTATATGGAAAATGACAAAATTGATTTAAATAGGTGCTACAGATTAGACACAAGAAGTGAAGAAAGAACAAATAATTTAAGTCATATCATAAAGTTATGATTTGAATCAATAAAAAGAATGACTTAAATCAGGGTAGTAAAATGAGGAAATTATCATTTTTTATTTTAATTATGGTTTGTACTCATGATTTGAGTCCAACAAAAATATTATTCAAACCATGCTTGTTTTTTTAAAAAATAGTGTATTGTCATGATTCAAGTTAAAAGTCATTGTTATCCAACTCAAGGAATATTGTAATTTGAATCACGCATTGTCCATGATTTGAATCAATTTGACGAATCCAAAATCCAAATTTTGAATTGATGTTTAATTCGAATCAATCATATGTTTGAATCGAGTCAAGCTTTTAAAAACCATATTTTAAGTTTTCTAAATTTGACCAACTTGATCATGCTTAAAAAACAAATCAACACATGTTCAAATATAATTTATTGTATGAGAGGATAACTCAAGGTACAATTCTAATCAAATAAATGAATAATACAAATTACAATAATAACAAATCAAATTACAGATAACAAAGTTGAACATAACATCAAAATAAAGATGATACCAACTGAGCAATTCCAATCTCTCCCATTTTTATGTTTGGAAAATTGATATATTATTTGATTTGAGCATTTTGATTTTTGATTATTGATCAAAATACAAATTATACATAGCTCTTAAGCTATTAAGCTCTTTCTGTATTAAACACTTAATGCGCGTAAATACAATGATAATATCTCACAAAGTTACCCCCCTTTGAAAACCATCAAAAAGAAACAAGTAAAAACAAAATACACATGGATAAACCATAACAACGTGTGAACGCACTCGAAATGCCACACATTATCAAACTATCAAATTATCAAACCAAAAATCCTCATACGAGCAAAACACACATATAACACAATTTTAGAATAAACACAAGGATAAGAGATAACAGATAAACAATAATGTACAAACGGAAGACAATTATAAAAATAAAGTAAACTGGACAAAAACATGCCACAATAAATCTACAAAAATGCTTTAAAAACAAAATACACAAAATGGCAGGAAAAACCAATATCCAACAATACACTAAAATGTCATGAGATGATATGAATAAAGATGCAATACATGTTTATATCTAAGGTAGGTTGGAGGAACAAGGGTCAGTATGAGCAGAAAGATCGCCAAAGTCAAAATAAAAATTTGAACCTTTCTTCGTGATAATGACATTAACTATAGAGAACTAATCCATCAACCTTTCTTCACTAGTCTTGGAAGTTTCTTCCTGCCTTGATTCTCTTTCTCTGGCTTCAACAATATCACTGGTGGTGCCTTAAGGGAGAGAAACCCATTCAAAAGTATAGTGCATAGGAAGATTTTTGAGTTGATGGTTGTCATTAATAAGGATGGAAGCACTTCAACCAAGAGCCCAGAGAGGTCAGTCCTCAGATCATGTGATAATAAGAAGATTAGAGGGATCCCGAATGATATCTTTCCTTTGGCAATAATAACCATAATTTCCAACTTTGGCGTCTCCATAGTACTTATTGATGGTGATTACTTCGGTGATATCAAGTACTCAGATCTTTTTGAGAAGATGGGTTTGAAGAATAAGAAGTTGTGGCCATATGAAGGGTCCAACCTAAATGCCTTCAAAGACACTGTAATTGTTTTTAAGGATACATTGAGCTAATGGTCACCTTGGGAGAAAGAAGGGACATCAAAACTATCGATTCTCAATTTAGGGTAGCACATTGCATCTTAGGTCGACCATTCCCAACAACCTTGGATGCATTAGCATCCTCAGTCCACCTGAAGATTAATTACCATAACTTTCATAGTGAGCATGTAATGATAAGTGTCGACCTATCTAGGGCAAATATGATCTACGAGGCTTTCTAGCATGACCATAAAGAAGGAGAAGGCAAAGTCATGGAAACCAACATAGTCTCCCTAGACAGAAAACTACAAGACATGGATTTCTGACCTTTTACATGTAAGGAAGATCATCTCATCTAGATGAGCCGAAGTGGCTGATGCGCTTAAAATCAAAGCTAGATACCGCGTCTCCCGTGGCCATTAAGAAGTGGCTATACAACTTGGTTATCTTAAATCAGCTCCTTTGTAAAAGAGACAATGCATTATTATAATGTATTATGTAATTCTATTAAAGAAATAATAAATTTATAAATACATTATATTTTTTTCCTTGTGATTATTAAAGGTAACCATGAGTTCGGGGTACGACCAAAGAGATTAAATCCACATCACAAAGACTCAAGGGTGTTGCCGCAAACACCACAAACATACGAAAAAATAATCAAAATCCCACAATACCAATGCACATACACACACACACACACACAAATAAATCAAGCCACAAAGGGGAAACTATCGACTCACTCCCCTCTTGGTAGCTAGCCACTTCAAAGGGAGTGGTAAGGCTGCCATACGTCGACCTCAGACCAAGTTTTCACATGGAAGCATAAAAGAGATATCAACCCTTGGTTAGAAATTATATCTATAGAATTCCAATAAAATTTCAGCACAACCTCAGAGAAAAGTTACTTCCCATAAAAGCGAACTTGGGACCATAAGCAACACCGCAAAGGCAAGTAAAATATGAGTAAGTAGCAAACTGAAATATATATTACACGACAAGAGTAACAAAGATTT